AGACTCCATCTCAAAAAAAAAAAAAAAAAGAGAGAGAGAGAGAAAAGCAGCAAGTTAAGACCACGTGGAAATACTAAATGTGTTTTCTGTGCAGATTGCTTGGTTTGACTTCCTCTTTTCCAGTGGCTCCCTGGAATGATTCGTTGGGGGACTCATTAAACCATGCCAGGGTGCAACTTCTTGCACAGTAAAATCCTAAATAACACATTCTAATCAATTATTTATAACTGACACTTAAAACCAAAGAAATATTTCAGGAAGAAAAGTCTTGTTTCTTGCGAGCAACCCACCAGCTAGTATTAGTTCAAAAACAACAAGGGCTTCTTTGAAGGGCAGATTACAGAACTAAAGTACAACAGATGTATATTCATTTAGGAGACACAAGTAGAATTAAATCTCAAAATAATTAGGCTCAGTGAAAGAAACTAGAATTTAGAAAAAAAGAGTGCATACTGTATGATTCCACTTACATAAAGCTTTAAAAATTACAAACTAATCTAGAGTGACAGACAGTAGACCGGGGGTCCAGGACCAGGTGGGAGGGAGAGATGACAAAGGGCAGAGGGGTTTTGGGTTGACTGATGTATTCACCATCCTGACTGCAGTGATGATGGTTTCTCAGATGCATCAATATACACACATCAGAAGTTATCAAACTCTCCACTTTATTTTTTAATTTTTCTTTTTTTTTTGAGACGGAGTTTCGCTCTTATCACCCAGGCTGGAGTGCAATGGCGTAATCTCAGCTTGCTGCAACCTCTGCTTCCCAGGTTCAAGCGATTCTCCTGCATTGGCCTCCCAAGTAGCTGGAATTACAGGCACGTGCCACCATGCCCAGCTAATTTTTGTATTTTTAGTAGAGATGGGGTTTCACTGTGTTGGCCAGGCTGGTCTTCAACTGCTAACCTCAGATGATCTGCCTGCTTTGGCCTCCCAAAGTGCCAGGATTACAGGCGTGAGACACTGTGCCCGGCCACAAACTGTATAGTTTAAACATGTGCAATACGTCAATTATACCTCTGTTAAGCTGTTTGAAAAGAATTTTTTTAAAGCAATTTGTGTGCCTACTGGTTTGATTTCCTCCCGGTCCAGTTTGCGCCTGTAAAGCAGGATGGCGTGGACGGCGTTGCCGGCTCTTGCTGCCTGAATGTGAGTTGGAAGGACATACAGCAGATCCTGAAAAGCGAAAAAGGTGACATGGAGAGAATTTGCATAGGGAAAGATAAGCAAATTTAAATACATCACAGCACATCCTGCATGCTGTCAAAATATTTCCAGAGATGTATTCAGTTACATCTGCAATGCTACAAAATAAATGGTAGTTTGATTTTCTACATTCTGTCTTTTACTTTGTAAATGTTTTATGAGAACGGAAGTCCTCCAAAACTCTTGGGCTGTTAAAGATAACTATTTGCACCAAATACCCTCATATAACACAGAGAAAGGAAAGCAAAAATTAGTCGGGGAGCAGTTAGACAATCAGGAAGTTTTTTGGATGAGACACAATGAAAGCTTGAAATAATTGTTTATATAGAGCTGTGCCTGCAGCTTTCTAAATTTTGAGACCCTGTTCCAAATGTCTACATTTTCCACAGTTGGAAGAAAAGACCAAGGAACACAGGTCTAACCTACATTTTGGAAGAGTCTATGTCCACATCATGTCCCCAGTGATGTAGAAAGTGCCTCTGTTTGTAGGAAATGAACACAGGTATCCTGGTGGGAAGGGCGTCAGATAAACAGCTCACTTCCAAATAGAGCAGGAAAAGAAGTTCTATGGACTACACTGATGGTTTTTCTTTCAGTCTGAGATTATTTCAGATAGGAGAAAAAAGTTAAGAGAAAAAGAAAGGAAAATTTTGAAATGAAGAAAAACAGAAAGAAAAAGCAAATGATAGGCCAGGTGTGGTGGCTCACGCCTGTATTCCCAGCACTTTGGGAGGCTGAGCCGCATGGATCACCTGAGGTCAGGAGTTTGAGATGAGACTGCCCAACATGGCAAAATCCTGTTTCTACTAAAAATACAAAAATTAGCCAGGCGTTGTGGCAGGTGCCTGTAATCCCAGCTACTCGGGAGGCTGAGGCATGAGAATCGCTGGAACCGGGGAGGCAGAGGCTGCAGTGGGATGAATTGCACCACTGTACTCCAGCCTCGGTGACAGAGCAAGACTCTATCTCAAAGAAAAAAAAGAAAAAGGGAAAAGAAAGAAAAAGTAAATGATAAAAAATAAATGAGGGGAAAAAAATAAAAGGAAGTGAAGGAATGGAAGGAAAAGGAAAGAGAAGAGTTCTATTTACCAGTTATTAAAGCAGTGGTCGAGAACCCAAATTGAGGGGCCTTCTAACCATCCATGCTTTGAAAGACAAAGCCCAGGAAACCAGAAACTACCATCGATGCACACCCCTTTGGCGTCTCAGAAAACAGTAGGGTGAAGTGTAGTGCACTGGTGGCAGGATCTTAGCCAACCCGCTGTCCCTGAGCTCTAGGGGTTCTGCAGGGATCTTAAGGCTGCTGTGGCACTAACTTCCAGTGCTAAGTCATAAAAACAGCAGGACAGGCTGGGCACGGTGGCTCACACCTGTAATTCCAGCACTTAGGGAGGCTGAAGCTGGCGGATCACGTGAGGTCAGGAGTTCGAGGCCAGCCTGGCTAACATGGCGAAACCCCGTCTCTACTAAAAATACAAAAATTAGCCGGGCATGTTGGTGGGCACCTGTAATCCCAGCTACTTGGGAGGCTGAGGCAGGAGAATCACTTGAACCTGGGAGGCGGAGGCTGCAGTGAGCCAAGATCATGCCATTGTACTCCAGCCTGGTGGACAAGAGCAAAGCTCCATCTCAAAACAAAACAAAACGAAACAAAAAAACAGCAGGACAGGTATAGCACAGTGAGGAATTCCTGTTTGCCAGAAACTTATTTTTGCAGCCCAAATCCCCCTGCAGTAGCAGAGCACCCTGGGCTACTAGGCTAATACTGAAGGGTACTCACAGGTTCTCCAGCCTGGAAGCAGGACAGAGAGGAGCATGAGCCAGTCCCCAGAGCTTTCCCAGGCCGTCCACAGGCCTGTGAAGACGCCACCTCTGTGGACAGACCCGCCGCCCCACCGTCCTCGCCAGACAGCAGCCCGGGCGGGGGCACTCACCATGGCATAGTAGTTGCTGTTCACCATGAGCGGCCCTCGTCCTCGGAGGTAGATGTACTCCTCCCACCAGTCGCTCACCTAGTGGGCGCAAACACCAGACAAACCCGCAGGCTCAGCAGGGGCCAGGCAGGCTCCCTGGCAGCAGCCCAGAGCCACGGGGAAGGGCAGGCAGTACTTTTGGCAGACATTTTGGCATCTAACGGGGGCCATTCCAGAACAGGGAACACAGTCCTAACCAGACGGAATGCGACACCGTGGGAAACGAAAAGTGTTCTTTTTAAGTTGAGACGAGCAGAAAGAAGGTACATCACCTTCATTCTGTAGATGGTTCAAAAGGGAAAAAAAAGCCGAAGTGGGAGGATTGCTTGAGTCGAGGAGTTCGAGACCAGGCTAGACAACATAGCGAGGCTCTAGCTCTACATTAAAAATAAAAATAATAAATAAAATAAAAATTTTAAAAATGTTTAAAAGACCAGATGGAAAGTAAATCCTAAATGTTTGACTGCTAACATGATCTAAAAACCAATACTGTGGGCTGGGCATGGTGGCTCACACCTGTAATCTCAGCACTTTGGGAGGCCGAGACAGGAGGATCGCTTGATGCCACGAGTTTGAAGCCAGCCTGGGCAACATTGCAAGGTTCCACCTCTCCAAAAAAAATGTAAGAAATTAGCCAGGTGTGGTGGCTCATGCGTGGAGTCTCAGCTACTTGGGAGGCTAAGGCAGGAGGGTCACTTGAGCCCAGGGGTTCGAGGCAACAGTGAGCTATGATTGTGCCACTGTATTCCAGCCTGGGCAACAGAGCAAGACCTTTTCTCAAATAAAAGAAAACAGTAACAAAGGCCAGGTGCAGTGGCTCACGCCTGTAATCCCAGCATTTTGGGAGACTGAGGTGGGCTGATCACTTGAGGTGAGGAGTTCCGGACCTGCCTGGCCAACATGATGAAACTCCATCTCTACTAAAAATACAAAAATTAGCTGGGCATAGTGGCGGGCGCCTGTAATCCCAGCTACTCAGCAGGCTGAGGCAGGAGAATCACTTGAACCTGGGAGGTGGAGGTTGCAGTGAGCTGGGATCGCACCACTGCACTCCAGCCTGGGCGACAGGGCGAAAAAAAGAAAAGCCATCTCAAAAAGAAAAGAAAAGAAAACAACAACAAAAAAAACCAATGTTATGCAAAATTGCTCCACAGACTGCTTCTCGTCTTCCTGCTTCCCAGGTCTCCCTGAAGAAGCCACCGCCTCAGTCTAGTCCGTGGCACTAACCCGGCGTCCCACAGGTGTGGTCCCTGTTCCCTGGCACATGCATCCTGAAGCTACCCAGGGGCAGTGCCCCCCAGCCACCTCACAGCTGCTGTCCCTTCACAGCCTGCTGGACCCAGAGATGGCTTCCTTTTCAGCTTTGTGCTGAAACACACGTAACTACAGAACAGTGGCCATGCAACGGTCTCGTGTGCGGAGCTGTGTAGAGAGCTGATGTTTACCAGTCCAGCACACCCGTGCAGCCAGCGAACATGCCCGGCCCCCTGAGGCTCGAGAGACTCCTCCAGGCACTGCCCATCCACCCACGATGTGACTTCTGCACCACCTGCTGGTTCTGTCAGGGTCACTTGGGACACCACCTCTTCCGTGTTAGTTGTTCCTCAAAGCTACACTCCCTCCCTTGCTTCGTCTGCCAGAGGCCTGCTCTCACCTTCCCAGCACATGGAAGCCCAGCCAGCTCCCCACATACAGGGCGCCAGCTAAGACACTTGGTTGGAGGAGATGCTCCTGGGACCACTGAGCCACACTCAATCCCAGCAAGCATCCCACACCATCCCTGCATCCACCAGCGAGCTCGGGAAGGATGCCTTGGAATAAAAATAAACTAAAGAGGAGGATAGGAGCAGGAGTCTGGGGCAGCATGGTACTGCTGCAGGAGAAACAGCTCACAAGAGGAATCCCCGGGGAAGAGGGAGAGGGAGAGGGCTCCTGTGTGCAAAACACAGCATTGCGATGATGCACCTGCACTCGGGGTAAAACTGTCACTGTAGGCTGGGTGTGGTGGCTCATGCCTGTGATCCCAGCACTTCGGGAGGCCAAGGTGGGAAGATCACTTGAGCCCAGGAGTTTGAGACCAGCCTGGTCAACATAGTGAGACCCTGTCTCTACAAAAAATCCAAAAACCAAGAAACTGTCACTGTAACTACACGTCAGTCCTAATACACACACCCCATGCTGCATGCAGGTAAACCATAGCTGGAACTTCCTAAGGTGTGATTTTGGCTAATCACAGCTGTCGTTTCAGCCCTGCTATCCCTGTCCCTCAGAATTAGCATCTTCATACAGAAAAATTTCATCAAGAAAAACTGTGTATACAGACTTACGTAATTTGTAGCCCACCAGGATTTTAACTTCAAATACCACTGTAGTCTTGGTCCAAGACTGACAGCAAAGTCTTGAGCAAGTGCCGTCATCCGTTTGAAGTCTTCTTCCTTCATAAGAGGCCTCACCGACTCTAGATACTGGGATTATCGGGGAAAAAAAAAACACCCAAGTTAAAACACATGAATCAAAGCCTATGGTTGCCTCACCTGTGCCTTAGGAGAAGTTCTAACACATTGAAGAGGTTTTAGGCTGGGCATGGTGGCTCATGCTTGTAATCCCAGCATTTTGGGAGGTCAAGGCCAGTGGATTGCTTGAGCTCAGGAGTTCAAGACCAGCCTAGGCAATATGGTGAAACCCCATCTCTACAAAAAACAAGACAAAAATTAGCTGGGCATGGTGGTGCATGTCTGTGGTCCCAGATATGTGAGGGGTTGAGGTGGGAGGATCACTTGAGCCCAGAAGGTCGAGGCTGCAGTGAGCCATGATCACGCCACTGCACCTCAGCCTGGGCAACAGGGTGAGACCCTATCTCAAAAAAAAAAGTTTAGACTCTTCCCCCAAGTTAGTCTTAGCAGTCCTTAGACAGGTTAACTCCCTTCAATGTTAAATGGTGTCATAGGGTAACAATAATTTAACAATTAAACTTTTTCTTCCTTTATTAGTTTTAAAAGTGTCCCAAATCCTGCATCACCAGAAAGCCACCATTAAATTTTTAGAATTTAAAATAAATTCTAGAATTGACAAGAAAAGTTAACAAGGAAATTTCAAGAATGTCTCTTATGTATTATTTGGCCCTTAATAAAAGAGCTGTTCTGACTTAAGCTTTGATGACCTGTGATGGTGACTACGAGATGGGGCAGAGTCATGCTGAGAGCTAGGTGCTGGGGCTGGGCAGGTGCTCAGGCAGCAGGATGGGAAGGAGGGGCTGGAATAGGTCTCAGAACCAGGCCAAGGCCAGGGCCTCAGGTTCAGGGTTTTCAGCCCCCACCCCACCTCATCCTTTCACATGTGCTACTTTGGTTGAACAAATGCTCAGAGATGGAAACACAGAGAGCAATTGTTTAAAAAGACACTCAAAAGCGTCTGCTACACACCTAAGCAAGCTCTTACAGAAAGTGACACTGGTCAGGTGCGGTAGCTCACACCTGTAATCCCAGCACTTTGAGAAGCTGACATGTGAAGAGTGCTTGAGCCCAAGCAATCTTGACCAGTTCAAGACCAGCCTGGGCAACAGAGTGAGACCCCGTCTCTGCAAAAAAAAAAAAAAAAACAAAAATTAGCTGGGTGTGGCGGCACATGTCTGTGGTCCCAGCTACTTGGAAGGCCGAGGTGGGAGGATCACTTGGGCCTAGGAGTTCAAAGCTGCAGTGAGCCATGATCACACCACTGCATTCCAGCCTGGGCGAGACGCTGTCTCCCCCAACAACAGCAACAAAAAGTAAAAACTGTTGCTAACCCCACAATTTGCCATGAAATATTTTAATCCAACAAGTTGTCTGCTGTAAAAACCAAAGTCTTGGTGAAACAGTAATCTCTCTAGGGTCCCTCCCTGTACGTTGGAAAGTAAGACCCCACTCCCTTACAAGGGCCAGCTGTGGCCAGGTATGGTGGCTCATGACTGTAACCCCAGCACTTTGGGAGGCTGAATCAGGAGGACTGTTTGAGCCCAGGAGTTCAAGACCAGTCTGGGCAACATGGCAAGACCCCATCTCTACAAAAAAATATTTGCAGGCATAGTGGTGCACACCTGTGGCCCCAACTACTTGGGAGGCTAAGGCAGGAGGATCACTTGGGCCAGGAATTCAAGGCTGCAGTGAGCTAGGACGGTGTCACTGCATTCCAGCCCAGGCAAGAGAGTGAGACTCTGTCTCCCACAGAAAGGGCGTGGAACAGTTGTCAAGCATATTGAGGCTTATTCAAAGTAAAATGCCCGTTAATGAGACAGAAAATCATGCCCTGAATGAGCTGAAGTGGAACCCTGAGCTACGCAACACAGACAGAGGTCACTGAAGGTCAAGCATCTCACCCTCACCCCACCCTGCCAGTGGAACAGGGGCCGTTGTCAGCCCTGATTCGCAAGTGTGGGTACAGAAGAGGAGAGATGGGGTAGGTCAGCCACGGTGGCTTGCACCTGTAATTCCAGTACTTTCGGAGGCCGAGGTGGGCGGATCACTTGAGGTCAGGAGTTTTGAGACCAGCCTGGCCAACATAGTGAAATCCTGTCTCTACTAAAAATACAAAAATAAGCGAGGCGTGGTGGCACACACCTGTAATTCCAGCTACTCGGGTGACTGAGGCAGGAGAATTGTTTGAACCTGGGAGATGGAGGCTGCAGTGAGCTGAGATCACACCACTGCACCCTAACCTGGGTGACAGAGCAAAAACAAAAACAACAACAACAACAAAAAAGAGCAGAGATGGGAAGAAACTTACCAAGGCTAACAGGGACTCAATAACCAAGGCTGGATTCAAACCCTCAGGGACTCAGTAACCAATCCTGGATTCAAACCCTCACCCCGAGAAGTTTCTGCTTATTATAGTTTTTAAAATGGGGTCCCAGGATGTGCAAAAATGAAAGCACCCATGCACTGCTGATTAGAATGCAAAATGGTGGA